CAAAATACATCATGTGAAAGGCTGGACTGGAAGAATCTCAAACCGGAATTAAGATTTCCGGAAGAAATATCAACAAACTCAGATATGCAGATGATACCACTCTGATGGCAGAAAGTAAGGAAGAATTAAAGAACCTCTTAATGAAGGTGAAAGAGGAGAGCGCAAAAAATGGTCTGAAGCTCAACATAAAAAAAAACTAAGATCATAGCCACTGGTCCCATCACCTCCCAGCAAATAGAAGGGAAAGATACGGAGGCAGTGACAAGTTTTACATTCCTGGGCTCCATGATCACTGCACATGGTGACAGCAGCCACAAAATTAAAAGATGCCTGCTTCTTGGGAAGAAAGCAATGACAAACCTAGACAGCATCTTAAAAAGCAGAGACATAACCTTGCCATCAAAGGTCCGCATAGTCAAAGTTATGGTTTTTCCTGTAGCGATGTATGGAAGTGAGAGCTGGACCATAAAGAAGCCTGACCGCCGAAGAATTGATGCTTTTGAATCGTGGTGCTGGAGGAGACTCTTGAGAGTTCCTTGGACTGCAAGGAGAACAAACCTATCCATTTTGAAGGAAATCAGCCCTGAGTGCTCACTGGAAGGACAGATCCTGAAACTGAGGCTCCAATACTTTGGCCATCTCATGAGAAGAGAAGACTCCCTAGAAAAGACCCTGATGTAGAGAAAATGTGAAGGCAAGAGGAAAAGGGGACAACAGAGGACAAGATGGATGGATAGTGTCACTGAAGCTACCAACATGAATTTGACCCAACTCCAGGAGGCAGTGGAAGACAGGAGGGCCTGGTGTGCTCTGGTCCATAGAGTCATGAAAAGGCGGACACGACTTAACGAGTAAACAACAACTTCCAAGAGAAACTTGAAAAACTGGCTGGCCTGATTTAGGCAGGTCTGAGCAAGGGGGAGGAGGGGAAGAGAAATGATCAATATCAGAGTTGAAACAGCATCCAAAAGTAATTCAAGAGGGGGCACTGGACCAGAGCAATGGACTTCAGTGGACAGAAAATGGACTCTGTAAGAAGAAAAAAAGAAAAAGACCAACAAGTAGACAAAATATAGACCTCTAGGTACTTTGGGAGCCCCTGCCCAAAATTTCCTAGGAAGCTAATCTTCCAGATCACAGCAAATGAAACTATAGCAGTAAACAAAAATGTGTCAACTCGAGGCAGTGGATATACAGACTGGGAAGTTCTCAGCGTGGAGCCCATTTTCAATGAAGAAGGAAAAAGAAAGGAAGATTGCAGAGCAACAGCCAGACGGAAACCCCTCTCTCTTTCTCCCTCTGTTCAGCGCAGGGCTATGCCTAACACTCTTCAAGAGTCGGGCTGAAGAAACCGGTTGTGGCCAAACTCTGCTCCCTGCCTCCTCTTCCTCAGCCTCAAAGGCTGGGCCCACCCTCATCAGGAAGTGAACGTAAACGCTCCGAGCCCAACCCAAACGGCCAAGACTTAAATGCAAGCTCTGCCGAATAAATGCATGCAGGCCACGCCAGACAGAGCCAGGGGAGTCAGATAATGGCCATGGCTCAGCTCTGACCGATGTCTGCTTTTCAATATCATTGCTGGCAGTGAGCCAACATGGCTGCCCCTACCAGCTCCCTCCACAGGACGACTAATCCACGGCTTTGCTCTCCCATCCTTGGAATTGGGAGTCTGTGTCAGCAAAGCCAGCTGCATGTTCAAGGGAGAGCCCTCCGTGACCTCTAAACATTTTGTCTACAGATGCGCTTGTGCCTTTTAGGGGGTGGGGGACACGTTTCCAAACGCTACCTCAGGTTCAGAATCAGAAGAGTCACTATCCTTTCCCCCTCCACCACCAACCCAGATTAAATCCTCCCAGTTCCTGTTTCCTCAGCAGACAAGAGTATCTCGGAACAACAGGAAGCAAAGGAGAGAGGGCATCCCTCCCTTCAGTCAACCGGAGCTCCCGCAGCAGAACTGCCAAAGCAACATGAACAGCTAGCAGAGAGACCCATTCCCGGCTGATCAATCCTGTCAGGCACCTGCTGGCAGAGCTGCCTGAGCAGCTGGGATTCCCCCTCGCTGCTACTGCTGCCACCATCTCCTGTCGTTCCCACCCCACCCTAAGTCAGAAGAGTTAGAACCATTTAGCCATGGGACTGGAAATCAGAAATCCCCAACAGCGGCCCACTTCTAGAGTGAGAGAGGGAGTGAAGGAATGTGTGTCTGCATGAGGGTATACTGTTCAGACATGTGTGCTTGCATGAGGGTATACTGTTCTGCCACTGTCTAAATGAATCTGGCAAAAATGGAGGGAGCTCTGGTTAATCTGCCACCTTGCACTGCAGGTGGTTCCTCCAGGGAAGGCAGATCAGCCCCCAACACAGAAATCTGGTCATCTGTCATGCTACCGGTAGATTTCAAACCTTCACTATGAAACTCTTCTTTGTTAAACTCTTATACTTCTGTCAAAGAGGCATCTCCTTCTTTTTCTCTGAAACACAGCTGCCTCCCTTCACAGCTCTTCTTATCATCTGCTATCTTGTAAATGTGTGTGTGTGTGTGTGTGTGTGTGTGTGTGTATACTTGTATATATATATTTTCCTTTTCTTACCTCTGCCCTTTTTTCTAACTTACCTGCGTGGATTGTAGGGGGCACTGCTACTGAAGATGGAGTGGGATGGCAAATGCTGACAGGAGTTGGTGTTGGTGGTATACTGTGGTGCCTCGCTTAACAGGCGCCCCGTTTAACGACGAATCTGCATAGCGATGAAGATTTTGCAATCGCATTGCGATGTTCCCTATAGGGAAAAATGCCCCATTTTCACCCAGCTGATCGACGGGGCTTCGGGATGATTGCGGGGAAGCGCTTCCCCTCATCATCCTGAAGCCCCGCTGATCAGCTGGGCGAAAATGCTGGCTGGGGTTTTGGGAGGACCATGGGGGAGGGCTCCCCCACCGTCCTCCCAAAGCCCCCACTGATCAGCTGGAGGAAAAATGGGGCCTTTGGGAGGACCGGGAGGACTGTGGGGGAGTGGTCCTCCCAAAGCCCCAGCCAGCATTTTCGCCCAGCTGATCAGCGGGGCTTCAGGATGATGAGGGGAAGCGCTTCCCCGCAATCATCCCGAAGCCCCGTCGATCAGCTGGGTGAAAATGGGGCATTTTTCCCTATAGGGAACATCGCAATGCGATTGCAAAATCTTCATCGCTATGCAGATTCGTCGTTAAACGGGGCGCCTGTTAAGCGAGGCACCACAGTATACCACCAACACCAACTCCTGTCAGCATTTGCCATCCCACTCCATCTTCAGTAGCAGTGCCCCCTACAATCCACGCAGGTAAGTTAGAAAAAAGGGCAGAGGTAAGAAAAGGAAAAGGCCTCTCCTTCAATCTGCTAATGTAGAGGCATCCAAAGGAGGGGCATGCAGTGAGGCCTCTCTGCTAGGAGCAACAGGAGCAGTAAAGCAAAACAAGATAAACAAAACCCACCCCGTTCTTGCCAAGCACATTATATTCTCTTGTTTTAGACTTCCTAGCCCCACTGGGAACTAACAGAATGATATTTAAGTTAAAGGAATGTGAATTCTTGAGGAATTGTGTTGAGGAAAGCTGATGTGAGTAGAAAAGGTCTCATCGTTTTTAAGTACAGACAGCATTAATTTCTCATATCTTTATGAGAATTCCAGCACACCTGACAACAGAGGTAATCTAATCAGCCCTGTATCACTATCCACTGCAGCTCCCAAGAATATCAGTATTTGGATCCCTTACTGCTTCAAGGGAATTTACAGCAGATATTTCTCTCCTAACAGGTATCCTAAACCCTGGGAAAAAAGGCTATTCCTGAGGTGGCTTGAGCCACACCCCAGCCTTTCCCACCCACAAAGAGATGACAGAAGGGGTTCTCACGGGGTGGCTGGGATATTAGCTTGTAAATGCCCCACCCGATAGCTGCAGCGCCACATGGGACACTCCTACTATTAAATAGAAAGAGACAGAGAGGTAGGCAAGAAGGACAGGAATTTACCAGTAATCCCTAAAATGTTCACCTGTTTCCCTTTGAGCAGGAAAGCACTGGGAAACATCATACCCACAGGTGCATCAATAGAAGCAGATCATTTTAGATTTGCTTCTTCCTTGTTTACAGCAGAGATCCCAGACTGTCTTGAGAAAAGACAACATCCACAAGAGAAGTATACTTTCTGCTAGTAACTCTGAGCACATGCCAAGAATAACCAAGTCTCTCCCTTTTACAGAAACCCCTACAATGGCTACAACCTGGGGATTAGACCCAGCACAGCAGTGCCTTGAAGAATGCACACCCAGGCACACATAACCAGGAAATATGGCATCCATTTCAGACAACCACATTCCCAATCTTTCATAATGTGAAGTACTAGTTTAGTGGACCATTCTACTGGGCTTGAGGACAAAGCCTCAAACACAGCATGGCAGTAGACATCAGCCAACATCAACAGGTGGACAAAAGGAGTCCACTCACTAAGTCGCTTCATTCTGCTCAATACAAAAAGGCTCAAGGCCTCCAACAAGTACAGCCCTTCCCATTTCAAAGCTGTTGTCATAGAGAAAAACTGTGCATGGTGAATATAGCAATCTTCTTTAAAATTCTCAAAGCAAATGGTCCTTCAGCTTGAGTGACCCAATGGGGTAGGCAATGTGGAGTCCTCTGGATGTTCTAGACTACAGTTCCCTTAGTTCTTGCCCCCTGGCCATGTTGGGTGGAATTTATAGGAAATGTACTACCAAACATTCAGAGAGCACTAGAGTGCTTACCTTGGACATATTCCCTGGGCAACTCCGTATACTACAACTGCAGTGATTCTCACAAGTAGCTCATGAGGGTCCCATTTACATTACCAGTTTCAGATGACAACTCAGAAAACAACGCATCCCCTTTCCCTTCCCACATCCTATTAAAAAATCATACATAGGTAGGACCTACTTTGACTCAGCAACACAACACAATATCACCTCCAGGAACATAGCCTGCTTGCAGACTTACCAGCCTGATTGGTTTGTGGTGCAGGTCAGCCTCCCTCACGGGCTTCTCTTGGAAGGTGGGCACCAGGCCACGGTGGGCAAGAAGTTGCAGCAAGGCAGCATTATCCTTGGGCGAAGGGGCACCATCGGGGCCTGAGGGCAGAGCGTGGCGCCAGGCACGGCAGTAGATATCCGATGAGATCAACAGGCGAATGAGAGGAGGCTTCATATGCTCCTGTTCATACTGGTCAGTATAGAAAGGCTCACGCAGTTCAGCAGGGACATGTTCTGTAAAAGGGAGAGAAACACACACTATTTCTTGTCCCCATTCAGCTTCCCTAAAATCACACCCATCAGTATCCTGTGTACTGCAAATGCCTCCACCGCCTTTCTGCCTCTAGCTCTGTCCCAAGTCAGTGGCCAGAATACTGGATGCAAGAAGCTCAAAATGAGATCCCCATTCAGCCAAGAAATTCAGAAGGAAGCCTAGGGAAAGATACCAGTCTAACCTTATTCTACATGACTGCTGAGAATAAAATCAGGGTGCACTGTTTTATGTACAGTGCACCCCAACCTCCCTTGAAGGAGAATGGAGAACATGTACCAAGAAGAGAGGGGAAAATCATGTACCAAGAAGGGAAGTGCTGCAGACAGAAGAGAAGAATCTTTCCTCACCAGATCCCTCCAGCGTCTATTCCTGCATCCCACAGACCTGGCTCTTAGACTACAGAGGGGAAGCGTTGCACAGATGGAGACTTGCTCCAACCCACCTACATAAGACAAAGAGGATTGTGTCCAGCCTTCAGTCCAGCATAGCGGGAAGCCTTAATGGTAATTCAAGGTTGATTGGTCTCATCTCTCCTCTCAACTTGGGTGAACAGGAATCAGGCAAGGCAAGCACGAGAGATATCAGGCCCTCCTCTAAACTGGAGTGGATCAGGACCAATGGCAGCAACCAGCACCTCTGGGAAGCTATGAGGATCCAAGTATTGCAGAAGGACCCATCGGGGCTGATGTTTAGTCCCCGGTGTCCATTTGGTCCCTTTCACTCATGGGCAATATTCACAAACAAACATTCTGCCCTGCCTGATCTGATGTTTTAGGGGGGAAAGGCCTTATATCCTAAAACATGGTATGGGAAACAAGAACACACCAAACAAATCCACTGCCTGTTTGTTGCTCTTCCACTATTAGCCTATCTAAGAGCTCACCATCTGCTTGGAAAAAGAGCAAAGACTTGTTAGCCCAGACTAGGCCTCTTTTCCCAGGCCTCTTTCCCATAAAGAGGGATACAGCATGGCTCCACCAGATGAGAAAAACCAATCCTGATTGCCCAGGCAGGCTTTTGCAACATCACCAGCCAATATCTTAGACCAGACAGAGAATGCAGGGACTGATTCCTACTTGCTTGCACATCATAAAGGTACACCGACAGGAACCCACTGGCACAGCATGCTCCTATACGTGTAATATGGCAATAGCCTTGATTTAGAAATGAGGGTTCCCCCCCCCAACTTTCTCCATCTTAGCTATTGAAGCTCTGCCATACTCTTCATAATTCACCTACAGCAAGAGAGAAAGGCAAGCAAGAACATGGTTGAGAAATTACTGAAGCCAACCCCTCTCAACTGTGGGGCAGAGACAAATGGAGAAGGATAAAGACAACGCTACATAAGGACAGTCTCAGTGGTTCATTAAGTGTGGGTGGGGGCACATGCTGTACAAAGAAGCCCCTCTCCTCCAAAGCACACCATAAGCAGTCCATTTAGGAGCACATAGTGCCAGAGTTAGCATCTGGCAGTAAGAACAAGAACTTAATTATCCGTGCTGGATGCACGATTAACATCAACAGACTTTAGACTTTGGATGGAAACCTGTCTCTCTTTCACGAGCCAGTGAAGAACAGGAGCGACATTCAACTCCTTTGTCTAATCTCAGGTTTGTAAGAATTATGTCAGTTATTTTAAAAATCGAGATTCCTAGATTTCTCTGCTTACTCTGAAGAAAGAATGGGCTTTTGTGAGAGTTTGGCTTCTCATAATTTCAAGAATAAGTGGCAAAAGCACAGACTTCCTTTTGCTTCTTTAGGTAAAGGTAAAGGTTCCCCTTGATGTTTAGTCCATTCATGTCGGACTCTAGGGGGCGGTGCTCATCCCCGTTTCCAAACCTTAGAGCCAGCATTTGTCCGAATAGTTTCCGAGGTCACATGGTCAGTGCAACTAGACATGGAATGTCGTTACCTTCTCACCATGGTGGTACCTATTTATCTACTTGCATTTGCATGCTTTTGAACTGCTAGGTTGGCAGGAACTGGGACAAGCAACAGGCGCTCACTCCGTCGCATGGATTCAATCTTATGGCTGCTAGTCTTCTGACCCTGCAGCACAGAGGCTTCTGTGGTTTAGCCCGCAGCACCACCACGTCCTAATTTTGCTTTAGGGAACGTCAAAACTCAGTTCCCTCCACTTGATCTCTGAAACCCTGGATTATAAATGCAGGTACAGAAAAAGGAAGACCCATTGCCCCCCCCCATCTTTCTCTCTCTCACACACACAGCCAATATCTGCTTATATGCACCCACTCTGCCAGCTATTTCCTCAACAGGGGAGGCCACGAGACTCAAGACTGACGTGTCAGCTCCTGCCAGTGAGTTAGCTGGGAGGGAGGGAGGATGTGTGAAGGGAACAGGTGGAACAGCTTTGCCAGCTGATTCAGCATCACCTGATCAAAACCACAACTGCACGAGACCAGACTTGTGGCTATAGTCCCAGCTCCTTCCCGCCCTATGGCTCAGAGCCTGACAAACAGATCTTTCCACCCAACCTGGCACAGAGCCCATTACACCCACCTTCTCAGGTCTGCAGGGTATTTAATTCTGGAAACAGATTTGGCTGGGGGGAGAGGGGGGCAGGGAGGCAAAGTCTCTAGAAAGGCATGGCTAGGTTACAAACATAGTAGCTTTCATGCTATCTCAACTATGGCCTCAGTTAGGTACTGTAAGGGAAGTATGGGCAGAGCAGGCAGCAACTTGGGGTACGTGGAGATTGGGACCAGAGGCCTAGATGGCAGGCAGACTGTTCTGTACAGTGAGCAACTCCAATTAAGACAATGTAATAATCAGCTCAAAAGATGTTCCAAAACTTTTAATTTTCTGTTAAGAAGAATTTGCTAGCACTGGAGCAACGGCAAGCAAAAAGCCCAGTATATTCTAGGGTCTGCCACAATCCTACCCTTGCTGTCTGCCATTATACAGTGGGGTCTTCACTTGAGAACTTAATCCGTATTGGAAGGCGGTTCTCAAGTCAAAAAGTCTGTAAGTCAAGTCTCCATTGACCTACAGTGCATTGAAAACCGATTAATCCCGTAACAGGTCGTTTTTGTTCCATTTTGGGTTTTTTCTGGTCTGTAAATCAAATCTCAGTCTGCAAGTCAAACCTAAATTTTGCGGCCAGAGAAGTCTGTAACTCAAAAAGTCTGTAAGTCAAGCCGTCTGTAAGTCAAAGGTCCACTGTACCAACCCCTTTCTCTCCTGGAGGGAGACAGAGAGAGAGAGAGAGAGCCTCGTTTCCTGAAGTCCCAACAAGATCCACATCCAAGCCTGAGGAGATTAGCTCAGGACAAAACTGGACTGTGCTCTACTGGAAGATAACTGGGTGATATGCAGGAGACAGGCAAGGGTTTCTGATTCCCTCTTTTTTTAACCATACAAGTGGACCCTTGATTTACAGACGGCTTGACTTACAGACTTTTTGAGTTACAGACTTCTCTGGCCGCAAAATTTAGGTTTGACTTGCAGACTGAGATTTGACTTACAGACCAGAAAAAAACCAAAATGGAACAAAAACGGCCTGTCACGGGATTAATCGGTTTTCAATGCACTGTAGGACAATGGAGACTTGACCTACAGACTTTTTGACTTGAGAACCGCCTTCCAATACGGATTAAGTTCTCAAGTCAAGACCCCACTGTAGTAACAAAAAAGTGATGTTTTCCCCTTAAATGGTACTGCTCAAATAGAGAAACCTTAAGAGGAAAATCAGGAATGGATTTGCATGTGAAAAGCTACACATTCCCTTCGGGTACTGAAACAAATTCCTGAGTTAAGCACATGCTCAAGACCACCTTGCTCCCCAATTTATCTCCATTGTCTCTCCCCTTGTCACTATTTAGTACCTGGTGGATCTCAAGATTTCTAGTAAGAGAAATAGAGACCTATCAAGCCTGAAGCCTGTCCTCTCTTGACTCAGAGCTAATCCTGTCATCAAGCCATGCTAGGTAAGCCAAACAGGAAAGCTCTTGGTATGGTTCTGCTGCCAATACTTTGCCCTGAACCCAGCCTATGACCCTTTTGTACTAACACAGGCAAAAGGAAGTAACCCTTTTCCTGAAGTCCAGGAACTCCCAACAAGATCCACATCCTGGGGCTGGAAGCGCAGCTGCTCTTGGTGGAGAAGGCCTCCCAGCAGATAACGTCTGTCTCAGCTTGGACTCACAAGAGAAAAACGTTTGCTTCCATCTTGGGGTGGGGGGGGCAGCTTCTTTAAAGGCAACAGGGATAGCTCCAGGGTGAATGATCTTTCAAAAATAATTTAAAATTTAAAAATTTAGTACTTAAACCTTACAATTTAAATTAAACTGATGTGTTTTTTAAAATTTAAATCATCAAAAATTAAATTCTTTAAATTCAAATTGAAAAAAATTAAAAATCAAACCCACCCCCGGATTAGCTGCCTTCCGATCAGGTCTAAGTTTCCCATAAAAGGGGGATCCCGCTAATGGCCACTTGTATCCAACGGCAGACATCATAAACCAGAAAAACAGGTAAAAGGAAGGACAGATGAGGTGGACAAGTTCCAAAGGGAGCTTTGATTCCTCCCTTATGTTTAACACAGGGAGGATAAAAATCACTGATTTATTTAAAATCAAATTGATTTAAATCAAAATTTCAATGAGGATTTAAAATTTTTTAAAAATCTATTTTTATTTAAACCATCAATATTTGCATTTTTAAAAAACTGTTATTTAAACTAAAGGCACCCTGCATTTAACTAACATAGATTAGCTGCAATGCAGAGTAACCTATGATGAAAGGTTCCTTCCATCCGAAGGCCCAATATGACATGTTTATATGAAGTTGTACTCCTTCTTTTGCTATGTCTGTTTAATATTATCCACAGCTAAGGGAGGGAGGAAACAATTAGTGCCTCATTATGCAGCAGGGACCAACAGCCAAATTCCCAGTTATGAAGAAATTCAAAATGATAGCAACCTACTCCATATACAAAACT